GTGTTGGAGAGGATGTGGAGAGAAGGGAACTCTCATACACTGCTGGTGGGAGTGCAAACTGCTGCAGCCACTATGGAAAACAGTACAGAGATTCCTCAAAAAATTAAAGATAGAACTCCCATATGATCCAGCTATTCCACTGCTGGGTATTTATCCAAAGAACATGAAAACACCAATGTGTAAAGATATATGCACCCATGTGTTCACAATAGCCAAGACTTGGAAGCAACCTAAGTGAATGGACCAATGGATGAAAAAGATGTGGTATATACACAATGGAATACTACTCAGCCATAAGAAACGATGAAGTCCAGCCATTTGTGACAACATGGATGGACATTGAGGGTATTATGCTAAGTGAAATAAGTCAGAGGGAGAAGGTCAAATATTGTATGATCTCACTCATAAGTAGAAGATAAAAACAACAATAAACACACAGAGACAGAGATTGGATTGGTGGTCACCAGAGGGAAAGAGGGGAGGGAGGGGGGCAAAAAGGATGATTAGGCATATGTGTGTGGTGATGGATTGTAATTAGTCTTTGGGTAGTGAACATGATGTAATCCATGCAGAAATAGAAGTATAATGATATACACCTGAAGTTTATACAATGTTATAAACCAATGTTACCACAATAAAAATAAATAATAAAATTGAACTTCATCAAAATTAAAAATGTTTGCATTTCAAAAAATACCATTAAGAAAATTAAAAACAAGCCACAAACTGGGAGAAAATATTTGCAAATATTTCTGATAAAGGACTTGTATCTAGAACATACAAAGAACACTTACAACTCAATAATAAAAAGACAAACCCAATTAAAAATGGGCAAAAGATTTGAATAGACATTTCACCAAAGAAGACACTTGAATGGCTAATAAGCACAAGATAAGATGCTGATCATTACTCACTACGGAAACCCAAATCAAAACCACAATAAGACACTTCACACCCAGTAGGATGGCTACACTAGAAAAGACAGTAACAAGCGCTCGTGATGATGTGGAGCAACAGGAACTCTCACACATGCTAGTGGGACTGTAAAATGGTGTCATCACTTTGGAAAACAGGGGGGCAGTTGCTCAAAAAGTTAAACATAAATTTACCATATGACCCAGCAATACCTACCCAAGAGAAACAAAAACATGTCCACGAGAAGATTTAAGTGAGTATTCATAGATTATTCATAATCATCAAATAGTGGAAACAATCTATATGTCCATCAACTGGTGAACAAAGAGTGATATATCCATACAATGAAACACTACTCAGTCATGAAAAGGAGCAAAATACAGATACACGCTACAACACGGAGGAACCGCAAAAACATCACGCTAAGTGAAAGAAGCCAGATACAAAAGGCCAGATATTATATGATTCTGTTTAGTATGAAATGTCCAGAAAAGGAAAATCTACAGAGATAGTAAGTAGATTAGTGGTTGCTTGGGGCTGGGAGTGGGAATGGGAATTGACCGAAAACGGGTAAGAAGGTTCTTTTTGTGGTGATAAAAATTTTCTAAATTTGGATTGTGGTGATGGTTGCACAACTCTGTAAATTTACTAAAAGTCATTGAATTTTACACTTAGAACAGGCAAATTGTATAATCTGTAGATGATACCTCAATATAGCTCTTTAAAATAAATAAATAAAGGCCCCAGGAACCAACTTGAAGAGGCTCCCACTGGCCAAAGCTGGGAAACGAGCATCAATAAAGATAATAACTGTAAACAATGCAAACACAAATATCTTTAAATCCAT